ACATGCTATATACGTATGTGTATTTATATACATAGAAACAGTTATCAACTCCGCTCTTCAGGATTCTGCTCAGGTTAATCCAACATCAGTCTGATCTGCAAGATACAGGCTGCTAAACGTAATCTGAAATAGCCTCCAACAGGCCAGCTGGCTACTAGCTACACTAGATGGAAGGAATCTCCTAGAAGTCTTGAGGAATGATGGATGGATGCCTTGAGATATTGTGTAATTGCTTATCCAAAGTGTCTCCCAGGATAGCTCATCAATGCCTTTCCTGGAATCCCTTTTAATATTCATAGAATGGCGAAAGTTTGTAGAAATATGGCTGGCAGGCCTCCCCCATAATACGTACTTTGAAACTCTCCAAAGCAGATCCATTGGAAAATTGCCACTATGTCGCAAGCAGTATGCCGCTAGCTGGCTACCCCCGTCTCCGACACCTCCCCAGGTCTATCTCCAAGTTTCCAGAATGGCAGACAGGTGAATTACGCCATCACACCCCAAAATGGGCTACAGCATTAGCCGACTAGCCAGGACATGTTCAGGGTCGAAAACTGTACTCCAAAGAAAGAGTTGTCAAATTTTGAAAGCGCATTTAATTTTGTTACTTCATTGGATCTCAAATTCTCAGATCAATGGCCTGCCTTCTTAAATCAGCCGAGTGAGGACAATATTGACAGAATGAAGAGAGGGAAGAAGAGTGAGTTGGTGTCTAAAACAGTCCTTTTTTCCATTATACTTGTGACCCACAGAGTCACTGACTAAATTAATTTCATCTAGGGAAATGAACTGGATTTTTCACTAACTAGGACACCCTTCTCCACCCCATACCCCGCCCCTCCCCCCAAATAGACGTTCACACAGTTCTAAAAACCTGTTGTGGAACTATTTGTATTTTGTTTGGAGCCTTTATGAGGCAAATTATAATTGATGGTGGTACTTGTTTAGAGTGTATCAATCAGACACAATCTGGTCAAGTGATTCTGGAACAGTATCTGTTGTCCACATGACTGACTCCCTTGACTTTCTCACTGGATTAACCACCAGGAGCAGCTGAAATTCCAGCACTTCATTCTGTCAACTACCAAAACAACAAACCAAAACAACCCCAAATAGGTACATAAAACCAAAATGTTATCAGTAGCCACCAGATTAACCCAAAAGGAAACAATTATATATCTCATTAGTAGATAAGGCTAAAAGCAATAAATTAAAAACAAATATTAAAAATGCCATACGCATTCTGCAGTTCATCTTGAGTATGCACGATCCGAAATACTACAGTCAGGTAAATAGCCACTGGAAAGGCAATAGCTCTCAAATTTTGAGGAATATTCTGTTGGGCCACTCTGGTTCACCCAAGACGCTCATGTGTATTAATAGAAATTACTATACCTCCATACAATAATCTTATAGAGATTATCGCCCCCATTTTATGGGTAACAAAACTGAGTACTCAGAGAGCTTAAGTAATTTGCCCAAGTTCACACAGCTGGTAGAGGCAATGGCAGCACTGGAACCCAGGCTGTGAGACTCCAAAGTGCACTTGACCACTACTATCCTGTATGAGTTGGGCCTCATCGTTCCGTGTAACTTTCAGAGGCTTAACGTTATTCGGGCCGAGACAGAGAAGAGGACCAATTAGAAGTTATAAGGAAAAAAATCTGTCCTGGCCCCAAAAAGGCTAGTTCCAGACTCATGATACTAGATGTCACTGCTTTCAAGCTTTTAGCCTATAATCAACCCATATTGAAACCAGATTTACGAGCTCTTCAGAGGAGAGCTTTGTGATTTTCTAAAGCAGACATGTTTGGTATTTTAGAAGGTCAAACCCCCTATGGTGCAGTGTTTTTAATAAAATCAGTTCAGCAGAAATTAGAGACACCCCAGTCAATTTCTAGGAAGCCTCTGAACCCTTCAAAATAAGGGGGAGGGGGGGGAAGAACATAAAAGACAGAGCCTCGTACGGATCCATTTTTTCCAAAGGGGTAGAACGTAAGGGGTGTAGGTATAGAAACACCGTGGCAAATTTGGTCCCATTTGTCTCCGGTTTGGGCAAATTTCCACTTGGAAAAACTATTACTTTTGGGGGGAGTTCTATGTCAATATTAAACAAGGGCTGTTCCTGGTCAGCCCGGCCTTGTACTGTCACCTCAGGGTAACAGTAAACATCTCTATGAGGGAAAAACCAACACACCAGTCATCACCTTTCTTACATCACCGAATCAGGTAGGCAGTTATTTCATGAAGGGCCCTTTATCTCCGCGCCTGGCAACTTCCACCCTCTCAGAGGAAAGCAAAAGGAACACCTATATTTAGTTCTTGGTAAAAATCAAAGTTGAGAAGCCTGTAATATTTTCGCCGAAAGGCCAAGTTCTGCCCAGATCTCACTTTTAAGACCGGTGGCGAGGGCATGTGCAAATACAAGTGAATAAATATCTCATTTAGTATTTATGAATACTAACCATGAAGGGGAAAGGGCTTGTAATGAGGAAGAGACACAGGGCCAGTCTCTTATGCGGCTAGCACCTTAGCACCCGGGACACCCAGTCTGCCTGACAGGCCGAGGGGGGAAGCAGGAAGCACAGAGCCTACCCCCACTAGTGCTTGAGGGGAGGTGTCCTTGTGCCGCCTCGTGAGTTTACAGAAAAGGAAGAGAGCAGGTCAGCAGAACACAGGAGTGCGCGGGAAGTGGAGACATTCGACGTTCACCTTCCACAAAATGTGATCACAGCACCAGCCGAGACCCAGGCCCTTCCTGGAGGACGGAGTTTCCTGGTTTCCAAGCGTTTCAAAATAGAAGACTATTTTTTATTCTTTTTTTAAAGATTTATTTCTAAGTAATCTCTACACCCAATGCCTGCAACCCCGAGATCCGGAATCGTATGCCCTACCAACGAAGCCAGCCAGGCACCCCCAACACAGGACTTGAAATCCTTCGTTGCCTTATTTAAGGAATTGCCGAGTTCCTGGTTAACTGGTACTTGGAAGAAATGAGGTGAATAGAGAATAACAGCAGGGCCAGCAGGGGAAAACTAACTACACAGAGCTAATACAAACACTGCCTACCCAGAAGAATCACCGAGCTCGTAGGATGCTGTGCATGAAAGGAGAATGGCAAAGGAGCGGGAAGTCTTCATTTTCAAGCTGCGAAGCTCCTGTAATTTGATCTGGAGCTACAAGTGCAGGTGAGGGTAGAAACCCCAACGACTGGCAACTTCAGTGAAGTCTCTTCCCTAGACAGGTGTGCACAGTTAGGCCCCACAATTCTGTGGCTCCCTCAAGAAGTGACACTCCTTAAAACTTAACCCATTTTATAAACTGTAAACCACGCATGCAAGAACCGTAATTCTCAAAAAGCACAATACGAATGCTGCCATTTATTAAAATGTGTATTTATTCCATAGCCTACTTTGTATGGGGCTGTGGTCTACCAATTATTAAATAATCTAGGTTATTGTTTTTAGACTAGTCATTGCAACTCAGATTCTTCCATGAACGTGGCTACTGCATCTGTCTTCAGGGATCCAAATTATGCTGATCATAAAATATTCCCCCAAATACGCACACACACAAAGAATCCCTTAACACGTATCAAAGACAACCCCATACTCAAATATGCAGACTATAGGTTAATTTTTAGCAGAAGTTTCAAATATACAAAAGAATCGAGGACAAAAAAAAAATCCTACGTGGCAAATTCTTCTCACTTGTAAGATAACAAAGACCTATTTGGGGGGAAAAATATGCAAATGCAGCATGGGTTTAAATTCAGCCTGAGAAGTGTTGCCAGACAGAAAAGTCCTGCAGGAATGGAAACACAGTCTATCAGTGGCTGAAGTCCATGTCAGGGGCAGGGGGTCCCAGTGGTACTGTGTGTTCTGTAAATCTCAATTGATACAAATAACGTTCACTGTTGAAACCCTTTCTAAACATTGAGAGGTAAAAAAAAAAAAAAAAAAAAAAAAAAAACAAGTTAGCATAACACTGTGCTGAAGGAAGGTTTGCAAACTAGGAGCATGATACAATCAAGTTTGGCTAATTTGGGGTCCACAATATTTAACGTGATTTGACACAAAGTTAATCGATAAATTAATCAACAGCAAAAGGAGACAATGACTAACTTGAACTAGAGAAGAAGTTTCCTTTAGTGGGTTTGGTCTGGCTTTCCTTTTGGGGTTGGAGGTAGACACATTTTAAAAAGAAGCATTCCAGAGCATCTGGAGTAAGCTGAGAAATACTACCTTTGCTAAGGCAACTCCAGATACTGATCCATCATATCTGACCTGGTATAAATAAGTCTAAGATTTCTCGCAGATGAAAGCTAAAAACCAAGAACTTTGTCTAACAAAAGCAGGGGTGGAACACTGAACGATGGGCAGTACACATTTGGAAATTTTCCACGCTGTGAGAAAATTACAAATACACAAGTAAGAATGAACAAGATCTTGGTCTTGTTTCAAAACAAAAAACAAAACAAAACAAAAGTCAAGCCCAATCCTAGAGTGGAGACCTTATCAGAATCAACAACAGTAGAATCAACAACAGATCTTCATTTGTGGAATGAACGTGTCGTTTCTTACACTTCCCACTTGGTTTGTTTTTAATTTATGACAAGACACGGCTAAATTTCAGACAAAAAATATAGATATATTTTTTAAATCTTTACAATAAATCAGGACGTCGGAGCTGACACAGAGCACATGTCAGTTTATTTAGGTGCTCGATTCCAGCTCGCGCAGATGCAAATAACCCTGGTAACAGTGAGTGCACAGTCCTCTCTTTGCTTTTTCCAATTTTAAAGCAAAGAATACATCTGACTGCCTTCAAGTCTGTGCAAATAATCCTTCAGAAGAAATATCCAAGATTCTGTCCGCAGAGGTCATTTGGTCTCTCCCAGATGATGACGTGAGTCTGTTTTTCTTCAGATAAAGTGCTCCTGTCCAGCAGAACTCAAGGCCTTCAAAGCGTCCGAGAACTTGGGTGCGGATGAGGCCCTGTCATACGAACTCCAGCTTCCCGTGCCCGCTGTACATGCCCCAGTGAACGAGCGAGAGGATCTTGTCGTTGCTGAGGTCCGCCTGCCTCAGTTTGTCACAGGTCAGGCAGCAATTCTCGTGCCCGCTCACGGGCACCATGCATTCCAAGTCCAACTTTGCCACCTGCCCCTTTTTGGAATGGTGTCCGTGAAAGCTGTAATGCAAACGCGACAGCATCTGCTGCCGCTGGTCCTGCAGTCTCTTGTTCTCGCTTCGAAGCATCCTCAAGGCCAACATGATAAGCAACACTAAAATCAGGCCGCCGGCGATGGGAACAGCGATCACCGCTGCCCGGAACCACAACTCTTTGGAAGAGGTCAGCTCCTGCACTTTGGTGATGAGGTTCCTGCTCCCGTCGTGCCGATACCGGTTTCCTGGTCCTGAGGGAGTACAAGGAACGAGGAGACTGTGTTAACCCCTCCTGTGGACTGGACACTTACGATCATCTATCCGTCTGGCACGACGCACCCCATCTAAAAGAAGCTTACAGTGACCTCGGCAACTTTCAGAAAATGAATGTCGCAAACACGATGCCCAGAGGCTTACAAAAAACAGGTGTTTAGAGACTGTCGTTACTGAAGAGCAATGGTCTTCTGAGGGCTTGAAGGTGTAGAAAAACCAGGCAAAGCCTATCACGTAGACAGACACCTAATGCTCAGGCAGACATAAAAGCGACTCAACAGAGATGCATCTTTGCACCCAGCCATGCCTCTCCCTCCGGTGTCTCTAATTACATTCACAGCAAAATCAACGGCAGGCACACCAAGTCGCGGCTGCCACAAGACCGTAGATCAGGCAAGCGTTCTAGTTAGAAAGGGCTTCCACCTACCTGAGGCCTCCCCCTTGGGAGGAGCCAGGACATCCTGCAGCCCTCTGTAATTGCACATATCTTCATGACAGCATCCCAGCGTGGGCATGGTGGTGCCAGAGTGGTTCCGTGCCTGTTTGGCTTGGCAGACGTCCGCTGTGCTCGCGAGAGAGTCCAGGCAGCCATGGGTGAGCGGGGAATTTGTGTTCTGGGGATCGAGAAGTCTAGAGAAGCAGGCGCTCAGCTCAGATTTACACATATAGCCAGTGGCCACGCAGTGGGCAGCATCACAATAGCATCTGATTTCACCTGAAAACAACGAGAAATTGCGTCACGCTCCTTCAGGGGGCAGATAACGCATCCCCCTAAGCAACTGCTAAATCGCCAAGATCAAAGGCACTAACTTTTAGAATATTCAGCTGAGCGCCTACAATGGCAGTCCCCGGTAGACTGGAAAAGCCCTAGGTGCTTAAGTTTCAATCCAGTTCAATGTAATTTTAGAAACGTATTAATCCCAATTGCAGAGTATCAGAGTTCAGCCACGTCTGATGAGTTAGCAAGGAATTAAAAATACTACTGTTGGTTTTGAAGGCAAACAATCATCACGATAATTTCTACCGTAAGGTAAATTACACTGTTTATTCATCTTAATCCTACGTGACCATACAACATAAAAATGCTAGGCTTTTTGATTTTGTCAGTATAAATATTTGATCGGAACTACTGAATTGTTTACTACCTTAAAGGGCTGTGCCAAGATTTAAGAGCTTTAGCTAACACCTTATAAAGTTATTAACTAGAAACACAACAATCTAGAAATTGCTCCGGTCAGGAGGTTTTAAAACTATGAAACTGGGCAGCTATTTGCAACCTCTCTAGAAAAGGCAAACTTTGCCTATAAAGATCTTTTCATGCAGAGGAGCTTTTAGTCAGTATATTGTAAAACAGGAACTAGGCAGTTTACAATTAGTGGTTTGCTTGCCAAAGTCAATTTCTTTCAGCCCAAATGGAAAGTCATAAAACTGGG